AAAGATCTTTAAGATTTTTTTTTTGTTAAATTTTTCTTTTTTATTTATTATATATTTATTGTTTATAATATATATAATTATGTAAAGTATCGAACGCAAGTTTCTTTAATTTCGGCAGAAAAAGAAAAAGAAAAAGACAGATAAAGGAAAGGATTAAATAAAAAAAAAAGGGCATAACAAGAAGGTGGAATAGAAGGGCGGATCTTCTTCTTCTTCTTCTTCTTCTTCTTCTTCTTCTTAGGTTTATCGCGTTATTCCTATCAAGGATGTGTTTTCTCTTGCTCGTAGGATGATTAAAGTACCAACGTTCATTATTCATGCGCACGCGGATGCAAATACCGAGTAGGTACGATCGGCTTGTCTACGATCATAGAAAAAGACAAAAAAAAAAAATCAAATAAAGAGAGAGAGAGAGAGAGAGAGAAAGAGAGAAAGAGAAAGGAAAACGTTTCCTATAACAGCAACAGCAAGTTCAAAACGTGAAGTGGACCGTTATTCTAGTGCACCATGCGTTTCTCTTTTCGCAACTAACCAATCCGACCCTTCTTCTCGTAGGGTATGATGAACCCTTCTTCTTCTTTCGTTACTTTATTGCTTCCTTCCTTCCTTTTTTTTTTATTTCTCTAGAGTGTCACACACACAAGCTGCACCTGACAGGATCATTTTTCATTCGATACTTTTTTAGGTGTTCTTTCGCAACATATTATTAAAAAAAAAAAAAAGAAAGAATACTTTTTAAAGTTTAGAATTCACCATAAAGTTATTGCTCCTGCGTGTTAGTCAATATAAATTCTCTTTTAACTCTCCAACCCTACCCCCATAGTGACGTTTATTTTATAGAAATAAATTCTATGTACTCGATGGTGTTTTTGTGTTTCTTTTTTGGTTTTTTTTTCTTTCTTACTCTTTTCTTTTTTCAAGAAGGGAAAATTCGTGTATCGTTGCTTTCCCATTAACGACAACCATAAAACTTATGCCGTTGTCGTCCGCAACCGGTCTGGTCCAGATCGATCGATAATGGGCATAATTTGCAATGGGGGTGGGGTAGAAAAGAAGGATGAGGGGAAAAGAAGTTCCGCACTGCGGAAACCCCATAAGCCCTTTTTCTTTCGTATGTTACTCGCAAATATCATTGAAGAAATTATTTTTCGGTTGGTGTGTTATGTACGTGCGAAAAATGTATCGCATTTTTTCTCTTTTTTTTTAAGCATTTTATTAACGTTACACTTTTGAATAATACGAAATATTTCCTCCCCCTTTATTATTATTATTATTATATTTTTCTTTCCATTCGTGTGAGGGTTTTTACTTTCCTTACTCTTCTTTTTTTTTTTTTAGTATTTTATTACTTTTTATTATTTCGGTTTTAAACGTAAGCGTAATTATTAAGTATTCTCTTTTATTTTTCTTTTACTTTTTCATTTCTCGAATTTCGTATTAGTTCAAAAGTTGCAGTAGGATATGCATGGTAGAAGAAAAAAAAAAATAAGAAGAAAAAAAAGAAGATGCAGGTGGTTGTTATCATCGTTTCGTAGGAATCTTAAACCGATCATTTATTTCGACGGAGTGAAACCTTTTGATTACATCAAGTTTTTATTTTCTTCTTCTTCTTCTTTTTCTTTTTCTTCTTCCTTTGCTTTACAAGAATCCCGAAGAAGGTGCGACGATTGCAATTCGGTCCAGCGAACCAGATCGATTTCACGAGATCTCCCACCTTCCGCTATCTCTTTCTCCACTCGTTTCAAATACCCCCCCATAAAACCCACCTCACACCCCACCCCACCTTCCACCTTCCCCCTTTTTTCCCTTTCTCTTCCTTCCCTCTATACGATAGCATACAACACACCTTCTCTCGTCCCTTCTCGTTTTCTTTCACCTTTCTTCTTGATGACGTCTTCGAATCTTTGAAGAAGAAGAAGAAGAAGAAGAAAAAAAAAAAGACACGAAACATCTCATTTTTTTTCTGCTCCGTTGACTCGACTAATCGTAGGAAAGTATCTTCATTTCTTCTTGGATTTTTTATTCCTTTCTTATTTTTTTTTTTCTTTTTTTATTCGAGATGACTCTTATTTTGATCACACATATATATATATGTATATGTATATATACGTATTATAACTATGAGAATTATACTTTCATTCAATGTAAATTACGAATGCACGATCAAAGAAAATATACATACATAATTTTATATATACCTAAATAGGAGAATAAATTGGTATTCAATAGGAAAAAAGATAAAAAATACTAATGATAATAATAATAATAATAATAATGTGGTAGAAAATCTAGACATTATTTCTTTAATATTGGATTTAATTTTGTAATTATATTTTTATCTATTTAATATTAACACACATATTTTATACAATATATATCTTTCAATGAAAAATTATATACAGATAGATAAAGAAAGAGATTTATTTGATAAGAAAATAAAATTAAATAAAATCAATGATATTAAAAACATGATCGAAAAAGAAAAAAAAAAAAGCATATGCTTGCACGTGCGTGTATAATTTATATTCAATGTTCTATATAAAAGTATATATTTAAAATACATTTTAATATATATATAAAAATAATAAAACGATTCCATGCTAATCGTAATTCAATAGATTCGTGTAGAGATAAAGATAGATAGATAAATAAATAAAGAAGAAGAAGTAGAAATAAAAAAAGCATTTCTCCATATAACGAAGTTAACGAAAGGAGAACGCACGTGGTGGATTAGTATTTTCTCGTGGCACCTATTGTTTATGATACAGAAATGGTGATCGTGCGTGAAACAGGGAGAAATAGTGAAGGGGAATAGCTGGGGGGG